TTTGCTTGCGTGCATACGTACGTGCGTGCGTGCGTGCGCTCGTCGTGAACCACGGCATGTTCACGGCTGAGTGGCCGGCGAGGGTTACGTTGGGGTTGCGACCGGAATTCGACTCGAGGAACGAGCGCGGATGTGAGGCGACCAGAACGGGGGAGTTGTTACGGTTTCCCATCGATGAGAGCGCTTTCGTTTCTCGGCCAGTCGTCTCGTCGTTGGACATTCGGGTCGCGAGAACTCGCGTGTCCATGATGTTTCCCTCGAGAAGGTCAACGCCAAAGATGGGGTGAACTTATGCTCTGTAAATATCTTGAAGTGATCGAGTGAAATTCCACTCGAAGAGCACAGTGACAGCCGAGTTGCCCGCGAATTCGAGTGGTTTCCCACTCACATAGAAGGAATCTTTCACTCTAAATCGTCAAGTGAATACTCCCATTCGAAATTGAAGGGTGAATATAATGCGTAACATTGTTGCAGGAACAAATGCATTCTAATCTATTGAAACATTTGCTCTCGCAATTCCGAGTGGCAGTATTATCACTGTAAAAGTTCACTTGGAGTAAACTTTTCGCGTTCCTAGTTCTCAGTGAGATTTCTCCCCTAAGAAAATTAAAGAACGTCAAGTCCATCTTTGGAAAGTGGAATGTACTGTTTGAAAAGCGTGATCCGGATAACTTCCTGCGCCAAGTAATCGTATAAATAACGACCAACGTACACTTTTCGAGGGGGTGTTTTTCATAGCGTTATCCAATACTTCCTTGCAACGCATTTGATGAATACGCTGTTACGTTCGCGTGCGTTTGCTCGCGTTCCTTACGTCTCAACGAGCACCGACACGAAGTCCGAGGCGGATTATTCTTATTAGGGATACAGATGAATGATTTTCGTAACGGAACGAGAAATCTAACCTTTCCAATCGCCGGCAATAATCGGAAAAAATACTTCGCGGATTTATAACGCGCAAGTGACGATCGCCAAAACATGAAATAATAATATAAACTAGTATTCACTTAAGTTCGCGTATCTGAAAAATGTAATTTCTAAATACACAATTTAATGATGTAATCAATCATCTATAAAATCATTCTTTTTTAATTCGAGCAACTTCCTCGTAGACAATAAGAAATGAGATTCGATCAACGGATATAATAATATAATAAATGTCAGCTAATAAGACGTAACAAGTAATAGTTGGAAACTATAATCGTACCGCATTCGAGGGAAAATCACGTAACAAAACGATGTCTCCGCGAATGGCTTTGTGCCAAATCATCGTCCTGATTTTTCGCAAGAGAGAGAGAGATTTGGAATTAATTTAAGAATGTTTTACATTAAGATGTATGTATAGTATATATATATATATATATAGCATATGTATGTATAGCATATATGCCATGTTTGTGTGTATATATATGCAATTGCGTGCATTGTTATGTTTCAATGGATACTCGCACGAAGTCGGCGCAATAATTCGAGCTTGTTAAAGGATACGAATGAAAGGTCTCTCGATATAATTTCCAGCATGTATGCCGTCAGATACGTTTACGAAGGATGTCGTAAGGTGCTATCGCAATGTTATCGAAAAATCTGCGCGGCACGAAATGAGAAAAAACGGCATGAGGCATGAACGCGGACAAGTAAATCGATATCGCGCGCGACTCGCGCAAACGATCAACGTCGCGCAAGTGCGAGCAGGAGTAAGAAGGATCAAGAGCATCGATGACGCGCGATATGTCGAGTAACGATCGCAGCAAGTGAAATTCCACGAGCGACGATAAGTCTCCCTTGTGACACGAACGCGCAGTAAAGCGCTTTCGGAGTAATTCCAGTGCCGAACTGTCGACTTGTACACAACGAAACTGGCATAGCGCACTTTTTTCTTTTCCCACAATCGCATTCCCGCGGACCTCCGCAAGAAGTCGATACGACTTCCGTCATTCCCAGCGAAACCGGGGCGGATGATTTCCGTCGGTGATTTAAAACGTGCACACACACGCGCGCGCGCGCGCGTATCACGAGGGGTATTTAGGAGGAAATCTAGAACGCTCGTATAACAAACCGTTTCTTTCTTTATTTTTCTTTTTTATGTTGTCTCGGATATGCGGTCATCGAGTCAGAAAATCATCGTCCGCTATTTTCTGCAATTCATACTCGACGCGTTCGCGTGCGCCCCGTATAGAGAATCATCGGCTCGGGAAATCATCATCCGTCATTTTTTACAATGTATGCACATTGCGCTCGCGTGCGTGCCGCACTCTCTCGGTTGTGTACCGGAGGGGCTCGAGTGACGGTATTATGCCGGGTAGTCGAGTACCTATTCCCCCGTATAGATGGATGGATGATTCTTTAATGCGCTTTCGCGTGGCCGGCGATATGTAACGCGACTAAATTGCCGGTTTTCCCGAAATTGCGAAACGCGATTCGTCTTCCGCCCGACAGAAGGCCTGTGAGAGGTCTTGTTAAAAAAAAAAAAAAAAAAACAAAAAGAAAAAAATAGGAAAAGAAAGTTAGTTTTTATAGCATTTACTCAACCAATACTCAACTATACACCGATCGAATTAATTGGGGAATCTAAGTTTTTTTAGTCAAGCAAACAGCGATTGCAATCGTGCACGGAGAGAATAGTTTGTGTGTTTCGTGTGTGTGTGTGTATAAATTTTCTTTAATTTTATTATGTTTCTAGCAGTGCAGGAAGACAGACAGAAGTTAGTAAAGTCTATTTTGTTAAAATACACAGTAAGCTTCGCTGTAGTGAATTTTTTAGTAGCACATTTTAAATCCTAAAATGTAAATAACAAAACCAGTTAAAATTCCATGATGGTTTTTAAGTATTTTAGTCTGTCAGTGGAACCAGTTAAATAAAAAATTGATTCCCTACTAGTTGAAACCAAATACCTACAAAAGCGTCTTTCAGATAATACCGATGCTCAAAGAAATGATCTCCTAATTGCCTCCAAGATTGAATTGCTCCCTTAGATCATGGGCTGTGTTTCATTTATCACGCACGAATCGATCGTGCTGCACAACGTGCAGTTTTGACGTACCTTGAGCCGTGCCATTCTTCGAAAGTCTGCTCCGCAAAAGCCGCGGCGACCACCGGCGTTAGCCGGCCGTCAGGAACACGGAAACTCTCGTGACCGAGCCCGCAGATTCACGGATTCGGATTCGCGCGGACCCCGAAGATTCCGTGAGCTCGAGAAATTTGGAGCCCACCTACCGACACCTCGAGCGCGTCATCAAATCGCGGCCTCGAATGGGCCTCGATTGAATGCCACCGGACGCGCTGTTAAGAACGAGATCTTTTTCTCTCTCCCTCACGCTCTCTCTCTCCTTCTCTCTCTCTCTCTCTTGCTCTTCTTCTCGCCGACTCGTCTCGCAATAGCAGAAATCAGTTTCCACATTGTGTACACAATGCTCTCGCGTGGAACCAATAGCTTGCGCGGGACTGTGGTTACACACAGCCGCTTTATCATTAGAGAGAAACCTCGGCGTTTCGACGGGCTTCCCCTCGAACGTCCGAGTATTCAAATGATCGTGCGGTAAGAAACGCCGCCGGTAGCAATCGAATGTGCAACAGTGTGGATCGTAGCCTCGCAATTAGATTCGGTCTGCATGGTGAATCGAGATCGGTATTCCGGAGTTCCCACCGGCGTGCACCGGCGTCCACGCCGCGAACGAGCGGATCCGATCGGATGCGCTCGAATAAAATCGCCGAGGTTACGTCGCTCTTTAATGAGGCCCCGCTCGCGATTATCCAACGTGTCATAATTAATTGGGGACCGTTTCTCGAACAAGTAGATCTCAGGGCTCGCGCGCGAATCCCCCTTCCCCCCTTCTCTCTCGGTCTCTCTCTCTTCTGCCGACTGATGTAGTTTGTTAGCCGACGATTCGCGTTGCAGGACGCGTTGCTGCATGCAAATCCGTGTGTTCACGGTGAATTAAGATAATCAAAGGTGGGATAATTGAGACCCAAAGTCTGCCACGCTATGCTAATATTACGTCAGATTGCGCATTACCGTCAAATTTGGATAAAGACGAAATATTGTAACGTAATTTTCATTCTTATAACTGGTCGCGCTCGTGAGCGTTTTCAGCGTCAATACGCTCTCTAGTGGCAAGTGTGCTGTCTCTCCTCGAGACTTTTCCGAGTTGTTAAAAATATTTTACGCTATATACAAGTTTTGCTCGGGAATCGCTCTTTCGCCGAGCGTATCACGAACGAATTCTCCAGCGAGATTTTCAGCGATGGGAAATTGAGAGACTTTTGCATTGCGAGCGCGAGGCACATTTGCCTAAGTTAAAGTAGGCGACGGGGTGAAGCGTGTTGCACGATTGCGTCTATGACCCACTGTTGCTTCTGAAAAATGTATGTGGGCCGTCAGTTCCGCCGGGAGGGTACATTGTCTCGCGAAAGGGATGATGCCCGGGCAAACGTGACACGTACGGTGAACTTGACGGCCCTGGCGTGACTGCCGCGTGTTGGGTGTGGACACAGGGCGACTGAAGATAAACTAACACAACGAGGGTGAACTACGTCTAGAATTACCTTGTAATAAGGGCCAGCCCCGGGGGTGGGCTGAGTGTACAAGCATTCTCAATCTATAAATACGTCGTCGCGATTTCGCGCTTCAGAGATACGCGCGTGATTTTTCCTTTCTTTTCTCTTTCGAACAACGCGCGTCAAATTTGTCAGCAATTTGTTTATTGCGCGTCAATCTCCAAGGTATGATCGCTCGGCAACAGATTTCTCAAGTATTTTCTTAATATTATTAATGTAAGAGTAACTTGATTTTGATAATATGAGCCGTGAAGAGAGATTCTTTAATAATAATCCTTTAAAAGCCGTTTCTCCCCGAAGGAAAATTAAGCTCGTTTGAAATCGAGTTTCTGAATATAGAAATAAAGTATCATTGTTCCACGTATCTCCCTTTCCCACTGCTTGTCGTAACATCACTTCGTTATAAATTAATACTAATTAACGCTAATCATAAGTTCAACGATACCTGATGGAAGCCAAGGTAACTCTCTATGCTGTGGGTCGCGAAAAACACTTCCCCGTCGCAGGTCAATATTAGCAGGAACCCGTTCAGTGCCTGAAACAGAAAATCGTCCGTCGATTGAGTCGAAAAAGCGCATAGACACGGTACGCGAGCAGCTGCAATGTCGTTGCAATATTCATGCAACAACTACGCATCCCTCCGTCGTATAGACAGAAAAATATCATTACGCCGATGAGCGAAGTCGCATCAATAATCAACTGGACGATTGACTGGACTGAATATCGATGCTGGATATCGATTGATGGTCAAGTGAAACCGCGTATAAGTACCGTCGTCGTCGTAAAATCGGCCAATCATAATCGAAAGACTGCTCCGTTTGCACCGTGAGCAAAGTTCAAGGGGCTAATTCGCGTGGATAAGTTAAGAGCAGCGCAAAATACAGGTTTGTTAGACGCGGTTAAACGCGCACGTGAATATGCCCTGCGAGAATAGAGCGGCACGGCACGAGAACGAAAGGGTACGTTGCCTTTTCGAAACCGAAGGCTAACGCTTTGCGGCATCGGTCCGAAATGTTCCGGAAAGTTTTCCCATTTGTCGGCAGATTCGATACGGCTAAATATCAAACGAGCCTGCAACTCGTGTGTTCACTTCGCGCTTCAAAATATCTGTTAGTCGATAATCTCTGTCAAGATACAAGTTTATAAAAAAAGAAGGAGGAGAAAAAGGAAGAGAAGAGTGGGAGAAAAGCAAATGATTCCCTAACATTACCGAGATAAAAAATTTTTTCAGTTTTTGAAAAATCATCAAAATGCTGAAAGATGCAAGTAAGCAAATAATGTGTGGCTTCAAATGAGACGGAAAGTGATTACACTGAGAAAAATACTTGAGAATTTATTTGCGGAAGATAAAAGTTTACTTTATAGAAATATATTTTATATGATGAACATGCATAATTCCGAAATTTGAAAAATGTGACAACGTCACAACGAAAAGTTATAATTTCCTGAAAACTGAACACAGGAACATCTCTCGAAATATTGAAAGCACGAAGCTATCAATATCACTTTGTAGGACAACTTTATGCTTGCGATATTTCGGAAGATTGTTCCTGTATTCAGTTTTCGGAATTATAACTTTTTGGAATGTTGTCCCGACTTTAAAAAAATTTTTTTTTCGGGATCATGCATGCCCATCTTCTATATTCCACAAATAAATTTTCAAGTATTTTCTCAAGGTACATGAATAATAATAAATTCGTGAAGCATAACAAAGACTGAAATAAATACGTACACAATGTTGAGAATTCGCGGTGCTCTTAAGAAAAGTGGTAGAAGCGGCAAGTCTTGGAGCGAATGAATCTTGCGAGTGCGAGCACCACGATATTCCGATAAGAATAATTCAAGGACGTAATCCGACGCGCGGCGGTGGCGGCGGCGCGCGCGCGATTAAGCTTTCCGAAATACAGAGGCAATTCTCCGAGCCGCCACGCGAGAATAGTGCGGCGGCACGAAAACGGAAGGGTGCGTTGCCTTTCGGAAAGCGAAGGGGGCGGCGAGCGTTGTTTCTGTAGAAGCGCGCGCGTTGTTGAAAACGCCCCGGGAAAGTTTTCCCATTTATCGGCGGTCCCGATACCGGCAAATACCAAACGAGCTCCCTCTCCCTATCTCCCTCTCGCAACGGCCGAATACGGCGCATCGAAGCCGAAAATATCCGTCCCAGTTTTAACAGTCTTCGGCCCCGCGCGCAACTATATATCGGTCGAGGCGGGGTGGAAACCATTTAAAGCCTCGTCCGCGCTCCCGCTCCGAGAGCTCCTGCGAGCTAAATGTGTATTGTTTTGTTTTATTTCGCGGTGGCGGTGCCAGGCACGCCAGGCTGCGATACTTATTGTTCTGAAATATGGCGAGTCCGCTGAAACTGGCTAGAGCGTGCGAGGCATACGTGGCTGTGACGATTCGAGGGGAGCGTGATGATTAATTTTCGATCAATCCCCTCAATGGATCTTGGACCTAAACGGAATTTTAATTTACGATGTATAATAATTACGAATATATATCGTTAAAAAAGCTGGCAAGCTGAAATCAACAATGGCTCTGTGAGAATTTTCTATGAGAATTGATGGGGGATGGTTTCTGCTGAAAAAAACCGACTTCAAGTTTCGGCTAAAAAACGTTCAGATTGATCGAAAGACAATTGAAAAGACAACCGGAGACAACCGTCTCGAATATCGCGATACTCAAGAAACAAAAGTTTTCGTTTTTCTGTCTTAATTTTCTTAGCTCGCGCGCGCGGTATCGCGCCGCAGAGGGTTAATTCTTCTGACGTATCTTCGGGGCTTTCCCGCTTCAACGCGCCGACGCGATGCACGCTCGTAAAGTTGCGATAATTGCGGATACCTCGTGGCTTCCTAATCTCGGCTTCCGACACTCTCGCAAGGAACGATCGCGGACTTCGTAATATCCCATTATTCTTAGAGCGGAATAAAGGCTGTATTTCTTGGGGGCGGCGCGTTTTATAATTATTAGGGTGATTGTACCGGGTGAAAGTAAATCATAGCGTCGAAATTCACGAGCGCATTTGTTTTCAACCGAATTTGCAGCGCAAATTAGATGCCGATCTTCTCAGTAAAATCTTTCGAATTGTACTATCAGAATTAAGAAAATATTTCACTAAAAAATTTATTTGTGGCATATAAAAATTAAGTTTATTTCTATGAAGTAAAGTTTACATCCTATAAATAAATTTTCATTTCTTTTTGTGCGACATCACAAATTCTTTCAAGTGTAAAGTGACGTCACTTTGAATAGAGCTTAGATCCGAGTTTGAGCTTGAATAGAGCTTAGATCCGAATCTATTCAGACTTCAACGCGTGTTAAAGTTTAATTGAGGTTGGTAGGAACGAGCATTAATACTACATAATCTACTAGAGAAGGACTCGAAAGGATCTGGGCAATCGCGATGTTAGGAAAGAGAAATAGAAAAAGAATGGCAGGAGTCACACGATCCTGTCGTGCGACTTATTCGTACACGTGCGAGCTTACGCACCTGTCACGACTAAATATGCCACTGTGTCGAACTCTCGGTTTCATTTTCCGTCCGGAGCTTCGATGCCACCTGGCGATAGCGTGGCGCACAAAATGGCACACTTCCGAACGATCGCATGCGCGGATGCTGCGTTTTGATTGGTTAATCCGCAGGGTGGGCTCCTGCGTTGCGTCAATACGGATGTGCGCCCCGAGGGGTGAACCTCGAGCTTTCGACCTTTCTCGTTCACCCCACACACTATATCGTATCTACGTAGGATACGAGCTATAATAGGATTTTCTCGGCGCTTCCCTCCTTTCTCGGCCCTACGAAATGGCCGGCATAGCCATTCCGCGAAAGGCATCATCCCGCGAGACTCGTTCGCCGTTACGACTGTAATTGTATTGTTTGGGGAAGCGCGCTCGTGTTTTCCCGATCGACCGAGAGCGGACTCCTCTCGATTACACCGATCGTTTCGTCGGGGGCGAGCTCTATGTCATAATAAAGTGAGAATGAGAGAGTATTTAATCGAGCGATTTTTCTTCTTTTATGAAGTCACCGCTGGGGTTTGAAGTAAACGGATTTCGCGGAACTTAAGACACAAAAGTGCAGATGAACGATTCGTTTATGATAATTAACCCTCCGCGTACAATATCGATTCTGTGAGATTCAAACGAGTATTCGGTCGCTTGTCAATTTTCGTCAAGTCTCCGGGAAAAATGCGGAACAGCGCGTGTCTGTTTGCAGATTGCGATTTTATTGCGCTACTGTTTTATAGCTGAAGCTTTTCTATATCTTTGGAAAAATATGTGTTCATAAATATTGATTTTTAACAAAGTCATGGTAGTCATGGAGAAGTTGCCTGCGCCTGACAGATCCACAGACTGTACTGCATATTCCAAAAAATATGATTCCACGCGAAAGGTGAAAAATTCACGCACTTGTCGTAGTCGCAGTTCGCGTATCGTGGAAGCACGGATGTTTCTCCACGTGAAAGAAAAAAGAAGAAGGAAAGTGGGAGCAGGAAATAGAGGTGGAGAAAGAGGAGAAGGAAGAGGAGGAGAAAAAGATACACGCGGTTTTCTATTTCTCGCGTGAGTCGCTCGGCGGATCAGTCGCGTGCCACTCGCGAGCGCACTCGCGTGTTCCGTCCAAGCGTGAACTTCTAATACCCCTTCATCCTCACCTTGACTCTCCCGCATTAGCGGGTCGCCAATAATACTTCACGCACGAAATCTTTCCATTTTCTTCGCTCATGCGAGTGGAAGTCACGGGCACGGACGCCACGGCTCGACACGATCGACACGAGAGTCGGTATGCAGATTGCGAGATCGGCTCTAATAGCTGTTCCGCGCGTTTCATTGCGAGAAACTGAAAAGTGTCTTACCGTTTGCTCGGTTTCAACGAACGCCCAATAGATCGCCGTACGTAGAATTCATCCGTGAAAGTAAAGGCAAACGGCTTGAGTCTCGTCGGAGATATTCCTTTCTAGGTAAAATTTACCTGTTTATTTTGGTTTTTACATAATATATGACGAAAAGGTAGACTTAAAACGAAGGAAAAATTTGTTCCTCTCAAAAGCAGAGAAACATATAAATATTCTAGAGATAAAGATATCTTGTAAAATATTCAACATGTTTAAATAAGATGTTTTAACTACTTGTAAACTGAGTATTGAACAAAATATATGTGTACACTGAGAGGAAAAAGAATATCTAAAAAATAAAAAAAATATTTATTCAATGAGGGTACTATATATAATAACATTTATTTACATTAATATATACATATAAAATATTTTCCAAATATATATTTTTTTTAAGTCTTAATAAAATTTTACCTTTTCGCGAAAGCAATTGTTCATCCTATTTAAAAAAAAATTTTTATTTAAGCAAATGTTATTAATATTACCCGAATAAATATTTCTTAGTTTTTAAATATTTTTTCTCTCACAATGTACGATTCAGAATTGCCACTATGAAGATAAATCTGGAGATTTATCTTCTTCTCTCCTTCTCCCTTCGAGACTCAAAATGAAAAACTTTGCTGATATTCTTCACGACTATTAA